TTCTGTTATCGAGAGAAAGGAACGTATGAACGCGACTTTCCTGCGAGTTCGAAACGAGCACAACCACGGCGATAGCGCTACGCCGATAAAGCGAAATTCCTGCGCGCCGAGGAAAAACTCCGTCGAATAAATTCCTCGATATTATGCGACCGATAATTACGACACGGTGTGGAGCACACGCTCTGGCCGAGGGAAAATTACGAGTCCCTCTCGCGACGGTAATTTCCTGCCCTTCCACCAAGTTCTGCGCGAAACTCTACTCGCCGAAACTATTCGCTCGGCTTAACCGATTTTCCGCGATTCGCTTGAATCCGGTGGGCGAATCGAATCGCAACGGCTGCGCGTCGATCATGCATGATAAGCATCGCGAGCCGGCCGTAGGCCGCGGGCCGCGATTTCCCCGCTTTCGTTCCAACGTCGAAACGATACGAGCGAGGGACAACGTCGAACAATTGCCGCATTGCTATGCCTTTGTTGGAGGGGGGCGTCGCGGCAGGAAACGCGAGGCGAAGCTCGTTTGTCGGAGGAACGCGGAAGACCGATGGTGTACGGAGAACGCTAACCGCTTCTAAATGTTTCACGAATCGACGCGAATTGGCTGTTCGAGGGGCAGACCCGCGAGCTCCGTGCTTCCGAGCTCCTCCGATAAAAATCGAGCAACGCGAGTCGTGTCGTCGACGAACGGCACATCCGAATGAAAATTGCCGACTTCTTCCTTCAATGTACTTCAATGATCACCCCCTTATTCGAGAGGAAGAGGGAGGAGAAACGTGTGGCTAATTACGCAAGACCAGTATGTCAAGGGGTAGAAGGAGGATGCGGAGAGGGGTGCAGGCAGCGAACGATGAGGAGGTCGAAGAAATTCCAAGAAGGAGGAACCGTAAAGATTTCAACGACCTCCTCCGCCTACCTCGCGCAGTTCTTTCGTCCTCCGAGAGCTGGCTGGTGAAAAGAGAGCGCACGAGAGGCAAACGAGGAATATCTTTGGAAGGAATAATCTCGAGGAAAGTGGTGAGAGAAGAGGAGAGTCGTCGCGGCCGGTGGCCCGCGTCTGGTAGAAACGGTAAACGGTGCACCGGCTTAAAGCCCGTGGAATTATCCTCCTGTAAACACCTACCTAATTAAGATTGGAACATTTTAACGTCCTGCTCGGGGACCCCAATAAACCACCTAACGTACAGCCAGTTTGTTAGGCGCTTATGGGATCGTTTAATTAATATTGGCGTCGGAGCAGCGCGGCCGGCTCGAACGACCGACCACCTCCGGCGCTTCCGTGTCTTGCCCCTGTACACTTGCAACTTGCACCAGTCTAACGCGTACCAGGACCTGCTTTCATTTCTCTCTCTCTCTCTCTCTCTCTCTGTCTCTCTCCCTCCCGGTCTTGCATTATCCTTTTCGATTCGTTTGACCGCTTGTTCAGCGTCGGGTGGAAAAAATGCTCGACGAACGCGTGTCTCGAACGCCGTGGTCTTATCGCCGTCGCTTTCTTCGGAACTAAAACGAGAAGAGACGCGAGTGTGCGCGCGAAATGGCAGGACGTCGCTCGACGAGACTGGAGCGACGACAGAGAGAAGAGAAGAGAAGAGAAGAGAAGAGAAGAGAAGAGAAGAGAAGAGAAGATAAAGAGGAGAACAAGCGATGGCGCGTTGCCGGCACACGGCACTCTCGATTCTCCCTCTCGGGAAGGCGAGCAGGACGATTAATCACGGTCGCGTTTTGCGGTTTTGTCGCGCGTCACGACCCACGTGCGTTCCGCGGACCCCATTGTTCCGCGTCTAATCGTTCCAAGAACGGTGCCGAACGATCGTTCTTCGTGGGAGAGTTCCGCTCAGTCAGGCTCACTCGGACGAGCTAGCGTACATTCGGTCGTTGCGTTCCGTCATTTTTCCTCCGTTACCGTCTTATGAGCTTTTACGCGGTATTTCACGTTGCATTTGTACTTTGAAAGTACACGTCAAGCAACAAAGTCGAGCAATCGTTAGAAATAACGCGCGATACGCGGTGATCGGTAAATCGAGCATACGATCTAAACTGGATAACGCGACAGCGATGTTTTCATTAGCCAATAACAACCAGGCGGATGTCGAGCGAAATTGAATTACTGCCGGAGAATCTATTCGACCGCGTCAGAGGAACAACGAAAGCAAAGATGGCGCGTTCCGAAACGGTGAGCGGGTAAGGATCTGCGGCACGCGGTACGCACGCGGTGACTCCAGTACCAATTTCGGGGGGAGGGGGGCCATTTTTCCCTCGAAGGGGAACGTCGACGGCAGCCGAAAATTACCCCGGTTGGACCACCCAGTCGGCTCAAAGCAGACCAATCTCCTGGCCATGGGCTAATCGAGTCGAGACGGCCCGGCCGGTGCGGTCTGGTGGGGCTAATTGCAGCTCACCACCTTCCTACCCTCGAGAGGTCGACCTCTCTATTAAGAGACCTTTACGCGGCCTCTTCTCGCGCGTATCTCACCGTTCTCTCTCTCTCT